GTACATAGTTCTCACAAGAGATTCCATGGTTTACTTGGAGAGAACAAATTCTCTATAGAATCTTGAAGAACAATGAGTAGGGAACTGAAGGGCTAATATATTTTATGTAGAAGATTCTACATCCGTATCTCATCGATCAAACGAACATCGTTTGACTATTAAATATATTATTTCAAAGAAAATTTGAACATACAAGAGGGCACTGCGATTATTATTGGAGCAAGACTTTTTTTTGGTAAAGTACTTTGAAACATATTTTATTTCTGAATTTCCAAGTATACATCACCAACAAACCTTAGAAGAAATAATAGAGGAGAGAAAAAACAAGATCCTTTATTAATATGTAAAAATAGTTTTCCCACCACATGGTCTATGCCATGCACTTGGAAAAAACTATGCAAAAAGCATATCCTAGAAGGTGCAAACAAAGGAAAGCAAAAAGCCAAAAACCTAGGCTTCCTTGTAATCCCAGAACTTCGCCTGCATCTTTTCTGTTATTTTTTACTCTCTTTTAGACCCCACAACTAGGAATCAAGATTTCCCTAGGAAAAAGAGCTTATTTCTAACGAAGAGCAAAGCTACGTTTGGCAAAAACTATTCCAGACTAAGTTTCTCTCGAGTTTAACGCTAAAAGCACTGGAACAAAATCTTCTGAATCTAGGTTACTCCTACTGTCCTACACTACCATTGTTCTAATCATCGAAGTATAAGTCTTTGCTCTATATAAACCCTTCAAGAAACATGCCACATTTTAAACAAATTCTCCCAATCTCCAATAGACACACTCCAATTCAAAGAAAACACAACTTGGAAACACAATAGGAATTTTAGGAGACGAGCAAATAGAGAGAGGAGAGAATGACCACCAGTGCAGCTAACCTGATGTTTCAGTATGCTTTAGAGGGAAGCTTATCAATGTGCGACATGGATATTGAGCGGAGACCATATCATCGCAATTGCACATGTGCACTGCATAAACAGAAGGCCACCTGCTCAAATGCTGTTTCACATAGGAGGAACATTTCGTTCCCCAAAAAAGAATTGTGGAATAAATGTTCCTTAATTTCCGTATCAGCTTCCACTATTTCTTCTCGATCTTCTTACTTTGGCGATACAACACTTAGAAGTAGCGAGCATAGCAATGAGGATTCAGGTAGGTTGTAGTTGAAAATGAGTACATTGTAAAAAATCTTACAAGCTGTTAAGGTTTGAATATTATTTTTTCAGTCTTGAACACTCCTCCAAACATAAGAAACCTGTAGAGGAATGATTGTCTTTTATTGTACATTCTGTTGAGTTAATGTAAACAAGATTTCCTCTCTCCTACATTGCAGAAAATTTTAATATTTTTATTATGGTTACTAATATGTTGCTATACTAATGCTAACACACTGAGTTTTTCAAAATATTTCTCTTCGTAATAATTTCAAAGGTAAATTTTTTAGCTTTGCCCTCTCACATTGGGAAGATGCAGAGGGAAGCCATGCTTAAGTGAAAATGTAAGAATTAGGAGTTTATGATTAAAATTTTGGATAAGACAAAATGGACATGCCTTTTCATATATTTTGACTGTTACCTCAGTATTGTCGAAGTGAAATTTTACTGGCAGCCGGTATGATGAATATATCAATGTTGGCACTTCCTCGCGACTTCCCCTCTCTCTCTCTCTCAGATTTCCTGCCTAAGAAAAAGACAAATGGACATGCACTTCTACATTTTCAAATATTTTTTTTTTACTCTGTTATCAAATTAAAAACTCTGGCTTTAATTATGTCGATAATATCAACGTCATAATCTTTAGTCGAGAATGAAGAGTACAACTATGGACCATTTTCTCCTCTATAACCTGGGCATTTTTTTCTCTCCGCCAATACATTCTTCTAGGATCTTACATGTGAAAGTCGTCAATTTTCAAAATGGTGGGGGAATACAAGAAAGACCACCTTTGAAGTGTTTATACTGTTTCCTTTGTTTTCATTAATAATTTGTTCCACTTGGTAGGGATTAACAACCCTGAAATTCTCTACACTAATATGGACAAATTAGCAGTTAAAATTGGATAATCATTTTCTCCGAAGTACTGAATCTTGGTCTGACAAGTAACTGGAGTAATTTGAGGAGTTTTTAATTAGAAAATCTGCTGGTCGTTTACCTTGTTAAGAGATATATATCCCACATCGATAAATGATGTTGACACAGATCAATTAATAAAGAACTTGGGCTACTTCTCTTAACAAGGTTGACAAAGATGGAACCTCAATTCTTGATATGGTATCAGAGCCCATTATACTCCAACGAGCGATTGGATCCCGTTAAGACTCTAATGAGCACAAGGTTTTCAAGATTAGTCTGCTCAAATGAGTCACTATCTTGCAGTGGCGTGTTAAGAGATATATATCTCACATCGATAAATGATATTGATACAAACCAATTAATAAACTGAAGTGTGGCTAGTTTTCACAAGGCATGTCCATAAAACTGAGATTTGGACGGTTCGTTGCTATGGATTAATTGCGTAACTAGTATGAAAGGTTGAGAACCAACTTGTCCTTTACAAATGTTGGGGACCAAATAATGCAATATTCCGAACATATAAAGGATGACAGATTTCCAAGATTGAGGAAGCAATGACCCAAGTTACAGGATGAAGATAAGCAGAATGATTATAGAACAAAGTTGGAAAGATCAAACTAATTAACCCACCAATAACAATAATAGAGTATTGCAACCTAATAGGTTTTTGTACTTGCAGAGACATTGTCCACAGAATCTTATTGAGAATTCAAATGTAATTTAACATTTACAAGACATTGTAACGAAGGAGATTTGTGCTCTAAAGTGTGGATAAATTCTGGAGCCGAAAAGGAATCTAGAGTTTTTAATTAAAATTTTAATATTGCGCATAAATCTTTGATGAGCCTTTTGCTTGGACAGAAATGAAAATCACTTTTGCATTTGGACCACATTAACCGCGCACCAGATAAAATATGAAAAATTAAACTTGAATGCATATATAACAGACAGTAAGGGATCGTTTGGCAGAGATTCTGCTTTTTGTAGAAGAACTTCATAAGAAAGCTATCTTAGGTTAGTTTTCTTTAAAAGCTCTTCTCGCAAGACAAAAAACTTCCAAAAAATTATCTAAACTGATTAAAAAGTAACTTCTTAATTTCAAAAGTAACTTTTGACTTTTCAAAAGCCTTGCTTATAGGTCCCTAACTGTATGTCGGAGGGTATAGAATTGGATTGGACATGATAATGCACATATAATATCATTTCTCTTAGTTAATCTTATGCAACTAACAAGTTTTACATGACAACGAGAAATTTAGATAATCTTTTTTTCACAGAACAATTAGGGTTGGGCAAAATGTTCGAACCGAACCGAATCGAGCGGGTTTTTTTAAATGAAATACCCGAACGGGTATCCGAATCGAGAACTGAATGGTTTGGTTCGATTCTCGGTTCTAGACCGAGAACCGAAGAACCAAATTT